ACATTTTCCGAAGATTTCCGATCGTTTATTAAGTAACGTTTTCTGGTCTGCTTTCATAATGGATAGTTTCTCCTCGTTACACAGATTACATCGCGTGCTACGGGACGCGTAGGGTGTTGAATGTTTCAGAATAGACCAATTGATGGCAAAAGCCTTCCCTTTAAATTTAAGTTCCCATATATACTTCGACAGTTCAGTTTCTTTCTCATACCGAATAAGATTAAAGGATTTCTTATGGTTGCGGTATCTTTCTTTAAATGAATTTGCTGTCATGCCTATATATTCCTTCTTCAAACCGTCATCCAGGGATGTTACAACTGCTTTGTATACGATACTCTCAGCTTGCAGGCATTTGTTATCCAGGGGACATTCATCCTGATTTATACAATTACATGGTGTTTCAGGTTTTGTAGCTTCGCTTCTTCCTAAGATTTTCCGATTGTGCCGTGAAATAACATTCTTAACATTTGGCATACAACTGTAACTAACTTTGATCGTGTTTCTGTTGAATATTTTGTGAAGTGGATTTGTGGGAGGAAAATGTTTGTCAATAAGTTGCAGAAATCTTCCTCCAACGTTTGTCTTAACTGATTTACTGTATGGGGGATTGAACCATATAACGTTTCTATGTCTCTTTCGTTTCGGTGTTGCAGATGCGTTTAGATCTGGGGGGTTATAGTGTAAGATTTCCTTAAAGTTGCTTTTCTTCAAGGCTTCGTAAAAAGGTTTTGACTGGCCATACGCCTTTTGGTCGGATGAAAGGGATGATATACGCGCGTTTATTGATTTCGGTATATGCTTTATTATCGAGGGAGATAATAACAATGATAACATTTCAGAAGAGATTCATGACAGAAGAACTTCGCGATATTTGCGACAAGCTTGAGATTGGTAATCGTGTTGAGACGATGGCTAAGCGTGATGCATTTATTACTGTAAAAGATCATAACGACAATTTTCCAGCTAATGTAAAATGCTGTTTAATCAATCCAGCCAAAAGTGATCTTGGAAAAGTTAGTAAAATTATTCTGGACAATATAAACAATGAAATAAGATCTATTACGAAAGTTAATCAATGGAAAAATACGAAGTCGGTAACAGATTGGTTCAAAAGCATTGAAGGAAAGTCCAAGTATACATTTCTTTCCTTTGATATCGTTGACTTTTATCCATCTATCAAGGAAGATCTTCTGGATGCTACATTTCAATGGGCACGTACGATGATCGATATTAGCGATGATGAAATTAATATAATCAAGCACGCACGTAAATCGCTTTTGTTTAGTGACGATAAACTATGGACTAAATCAAATAGTGAATCGTTGTTTGATGTAGCAATGGCTAGTTACGATGGAGCGGAGATATGCGAATTGGTTGGTCTATATATACTGAATAAGGTCTCGGCAATTTTTGGCATGAATCGTGTGGGTTTGTATCGTGATGATGGCTTGGCTTTGGTGAAAGGAAATTCAACTCGGAACGCTGATATGGCAAGGAAATCGTTAAACGAAACATTTCATCAGTTTGGACTAAAGACAACATGTGAAGTAAGTCATCATCTTGCAAATTTCTTAGATGTTACTTTAGACTTGAATTCCAATCGATTCGAGCCATACAGAAAACCCATCAACACCACGCAATATGTAGACAGTCGTTCCAACCACCCTCCCTCGATAATAAAGCATATACCGAAATCAATAAACACGAGTATATCATCCCTTTCATCCGACCAAAAGGCATATGACCAGTCAAAACCTTTTTACGAAGAAGCCTTGAAGAAAAGCAACTTTAAGGAAATCTTACACTATAACCCCCCAGATCTAAACGCATCTGCAACACCGAAACGAAAGAGACATAGAAACGTTATATGGTTCAATCCCCCATACAGTAAATCAGTTAAGACAAACGTTGGAGGAAGATTTCTGCAACTTATTGACAAACATTTTCCTCCCACAAATCCACTTCACAAAATATTCAACAGAAACACGATCAAAGTTAGTTACAGTTGTATGCCAAATGTTAAGAATGTTATTTCACGGCACAATCGGAAAATCTTAGGAAGAAGCGAAGCTACAAAACCTGAAACACCATGTAACTGTATAAATCAGGATGAATGTCCCCTGGATAACAAATGCCTGCAAGCTGAGAGTATCGTACACAAAGCAGTTGTAACATCCCTGGATGACGGTTTGAAGAAGGAATATATAGGCATGACAGCAAATTCATTTAAAGAAAGATACCGCAACCATAAGAAATCTTTTAATCTTATTCGGTATGAGAAAGAAACTGAACTGTCGAAGTATATATGGGAACTCAAATTTAAAGGGAAGGCTTTTGCCATCAATTGGTCTATTCTGAAACGTTCAACACCCTACGCGTCCGGTAGCACGCGATGTAATCTGTGTAACGAGGAGAAACTATCCATTATGAAAGCAGACCAGAAAACGTTACTTAATAAACGATCGGAAATCTTCGGAAAATGTCGCCATAAAGATCGGTTCCAAGCTGGAAGTTTTCAGCGCGTGCGTCAACGAAAATCACGAAATCAAACAAACTAATTAAACGGACATAAATCGCCTGAAGATCGATCAGACAAGATCGTGAAACTCAGAGTAGCGAAAAAAAATGTTATTTTAAGATATTTGTAACGTTAATTATATATATATATATATATATATATATATATATATATATATATATATATATATATATATATATATATATATATATATATATATATACAGTAATAAATTGTTGTCCGTTGCACAAAAAGAGTGCTCAATAACAAATTTAATTGATAGAGCAAAATATACTAATTATAATCTTAAAATTTTATTAATCGCTACACAGTGTTTCACGCTTTCAAAGCGATCTTCAGGCGATACTACTCTAAATAGTTTGCTTGCGCCATTCATTCAACGGTCCGCTGACGCGATTGCATCATGCGCGCGTGCGTTTAAAATTCCGCACGCTAAATGAGTTTCTGTGGCGGCACTTTGAAAATAGTTCTGTTCGTTTGTTCATATGTTTGCAAACTGTCGATCGCGGATCGTGTCGACACAATGGCGAGAAGAAACGCGTTCATAACTCTCAAAGACCATAAAGAGAATTTCGACTCTAACCCCAAATGCCGCCTTATCAATCCATCGAAAAGCGAACTAGGAAAGGTTAGCAAGATAATACTCGATGACATTAACAACAAAATTAGATCAACCTTAAGTTTGAATCAGTGGAAAAATACAGAATCCGTAATCAGCTGGTTCCAAGCCATCAACGATAAACATAATCACACGTTCCTTTCCTTTGATATCGTTGAGTTTTACCCGTCTATATCCGAGCATCTCCTTGATGAAGTTATTTCATGGGCCCAAACATTAACTGACATTACGGATCAGCACATTTCTATTATTAAGCACGCAAGAAAATCCTTACTTTTTCATGATGAGAAAACGTGGGTAAAAAGAAACAACCAATCTCTATTCGACGTAGCAATGGGAAGTTACGATGGAGCCGAGGTATGTGAGCTGGTCGGACTATTCATTTTGAATAAGCTTTCTGAGAAATTTGGAAAGAATAACATTGGACTATATCGAGATGATGGCTTAATGTTGTTGAGTGGAACCGGAAAAAGTTTGGCAGACAATGCTCGAAAGTCTCTACATTGCATATTTCACAAACTTGGCTTTAAGATCACTGCCGAAGTTAACAACCAAATCGTCAATTACTTGGACGTAACCTTCAATCTGCAAACAGGGAGATATTCAGCTTACAGAAAACCCAATAACGACCCTCTCTATATAGACAGCCGGCCAAATCACCCCCCTTCTATCATCAAGCATGTCCCAGAATCCATAAGCAAAAGAATATCTAGCTTATCCTCTGATCAATTATCTTTTGATTCATCAGCAGCATTGTATGAAGACGCACTTCACCGCAGCAATTACAACGTCAAACTCCAATATTCAACCAATAGTACCGGCGACACCCCAACACCAAGCAGAAAAAAAACGACAAAGAAAGGTGATATGGTTTAACCCGCCCTTCAGTAAGAACGTAAAAACCAACGTGGCACATAGCTTCTTACAACTCATCGACAAGCACTTCCCACATTCAACTCGACTCCATAAAATCTTTAACTGGAACACTGTGAAAGTGAGTTATTCCTGCATGACCAACATTAAGAACACTATATCCAACCACAATCGACATCTACTGGTAAGAAAGAACAAATCTTTCGATGGATGTAATTGCCGCAACAAGGACGAATGCCCTCTCGATGGTAATTGTCTTACGAAAAGCATCGCATATAAGGCTGAGATTACAACAACAGACGTCGGTGAAACGAAAGAGTATATTGGTATGACAGCAGGGAGGTTTAAAGCAAGATACGCCAACCACAAGAAATCCATCAACTCACCTCGCTATTCAAACGAAACCGAATTTTCTAAGTACGCATGGAAGCTAAAACAAAGTAACCGACCGTATACTATAAAGTGGTCGGTTTTGTCGCATGCATCAGCCTATACAGCAGGTGCAAATTCTTGCAACCTTTGCTTAGAGGAGAAGTTTTATATAATTAAATCTCACAAAGATAGGACGTTGAACAAACGAACAGAACTATTTTCAAAGTGCCGCCACAGAAACTCATTTAGCGCGCGGAATTTTAAACGCACGCGCGCATGATGCAATCGCGTCAGCGGACCGTTGAATGAATGGCGCAAGCAAACTATTTAGAGTAGTACCGCCTGAAGATCGCTTTGAAAGCGTGAAACACTGTGTAGCGATTAATAAAATTTTAAGATTATAATTAGTATATATATATATATATATATATATATAATTAAAGTTCTCCGGATTGAAATATACTTTTATTGAGCATGATAATGCTGAAATTCAATTCTATTACTCCCGTCATTTTGGGCTTGACTAGCAAACGTTAATGGTGTTGAGATGGTCATTTTGATATCTTTTGTTAACTCGTTTAGAACGTCCGTAACCTTTCAGTTATCTGGGGGCACTGCAGCAGCAGGCTTGGCTAAATTTTCTTTAGTGATATTTTTGCAAATCTTACAAAATTCACCATAGCAAGTTTTCGTGATAGACAGCAGTACATTGACATGATTGGTAAGAGGTTTCACTAGAAAATAATCAGAGCTTGGTGACATTTTTGATAAACTTTCAGGATTGTATGCGCAGGAAAGTCGCGCAGGTTGATTTGGAAAGGTTTCAGGGAAGCGAAGCATCCAGTATTTTGCGTCATGTTTGAATGTCATTTGTAAATCACCATGACTGGTACGTTCAATATCCACTTTTCCTTCGCTGCCGAAATATTTCTCAAGCCCATCCTTAATTTTCTTCAAGATAATTTCTTTCGTTGTAACCACATCTGGGCTACTACTCGAAGTTTGGTTTTGAGGTGTGCTTCCTTCAGGTGTGTTATTTCTAGCTTGATACGAAGCACGGCCGGTCGGGTGGGTTGGACGATCTTCCAGAGAATCAGATGTATCCATCGGTGTGGGTTTAGCCGCCTTCTCTGTAGAGGAATTCGTCGCGGTTGCCTGCGATTGGGTAGTCGAATTAGTGTTGTTATCCCGTTGCGTACTCGAGTCTGTGTTTCGGGGGTTTTTATGGGAATTTCTCGAGACAGTCTGCGAATAAGTGGGACAAGTGTTGTCATTCCATTGAGAATTTGAGCGCGTGTTTCGTGGGGTTTTTTTGGTAACTGTTAAAGAGGCTCTAGCATGATTAGTTTTGTTTTGCGGACATTATTTTCCCTCTGCTCCCAAATTAATTTCTGCCACAATTTTATCATCAGTTGAGAACAGACCGTCGGATTCTAAAACCACATACTTAGTTATTTCATAGCGCTCACTGTGGGTGAAGAAATACGGAGACAGTTTAATTGTATCGCCGTTTCTGATGTTTGCAATGATGACCAAAAATTTCGACGTGCCTCGAGGGAAGTTACGTCTGATTGTGATTTCGTCTTCAGCACTGGGTTTGTCTAAAATCAGACTGTGGTGGGAACGCCATTCTCCGATATGGCATAACATGTGTCCGTCATTGACGGAGCGACCAACACGAGCCGAGCGAGAGTTGCCGTCAATTCCATCCCGAATGACCAATTCTAACTGGGATAAATAGATCTATTTTTCATACCTTGTGTTCGCTTTTGGCACAGACATTACTTTTGTAAGACAATTGCAAGTTTAAGTTAAGATAGCTCTCAGTGCTGAATTCCTGCGACGTATTATTGAAAGTGGAACTGCCTTGTAAGTTTATATATATATTCACTTGGCGGCTAAATTTACATAAATCACAATGTAATTATACTAGACAAACTTTAACAAAATCATGTATCTATAAGTTATATAGGCTTCTAATTTGTAACGTTTTACCACAAGCAGGCCGGTTGTACACTGATTAGTTTATGTCATGTATAAGTTATTTTAAAACAACCAAATAAACAAAATGTACCTTGCAAAAAGTAAAATACAGTTGAATAAACAAATTTACTTACCCGATGGCTATTTGATGTGCACCAAGTGGAGAAATATTCCTTGACACGTGTAATATGCTAATAACAAAGTTTGTCATTAAGGAGTATTCCTCAATCTCGACTTAATACAACTCAATTACTTTATTTTACTCTTATACAAGGTAAATATTGGTTGTTTGGCAGTTTTAAAATCGTTTACATAACATAAACTAAACAGTATACCACCTGTGGTTTTACAAAGAAAAATACGATCTTTTCTACTGGGAAAAACCTAATTTAGTTCCAGGAAAATGGAGTACACAAGAATCAGTGTTTGATGCCATGCTGTTATATTATACAAGATATATTGTGATACATTGGTCTACTTTACTTTTTAGTGTTTTAATTTTCAAAGGAATTAGAAGTGTACTTGCCATTGAAAAAATTTAATTTATAATGAACAGAATTGAATGTTTTATAACTAAAGTATGGGTGTGTTTCAATTTGAGATAAAAGAATCAGTCAATCCATGAAGTCAATCAATTATTTTAACACTGACGCTAACCTTTTGACATACCTTTTTAATCTATATCTTTCACTAATCTCAGTATCTTGTTTATACATATGAATATACCATGAACATTGCATCTTTCTACTTTTAACTTTTTAACCGTTTGCAATTGTATATCATATACTTTTTTTAAAATGTGTTATAAAATAGATGAAATAGCTCAACTGTATTTAACTTAACTAAGTCTTGTAATGTGACGAAACGTTACTCAATAAATGTTTTTACATACCAAATGTCTTTTTAATATGCCTCTTTTACGAATTATTTGCTGGGCAATTATATTTTTAACTTGAAGTGAAACAAACAAATAATCAATGAAGTTGATCAATGAAGTCAATCAAACAATCATTGAATCAGCGGGTAATTTGGTTCAAGTTATATGGGGGCAAATTGAACTCAATAACTTGGGATAAGATAAATCCTGTTCGTAGGGTTGAAAAGTTATGCCCACATTCAAAAGTGCTTGCAAAAGATGGGTTTCATCCAGAGTGTAGTTTTGAGCTACGGCCGTGCAGACTTAACCCGTCTTGATCTATAAAATTCATCTTCAATTCAAACTCGAAGACTACTTCGTTTATTATATATATTCACCTCCATAGTCACAAATTCTAATGGAGATCTTTGTTATTATTCTACATGTAATGTTTTAAAAATTATAAAATACGACTAATGTAGCAAATAGCGTTATTATAGATACTCCGTTAAAGTATTTTCATCATCGATATTGCCGTCATATGTCCAAACATCTTCTACAAGTACAGTTGGTATGAATAGCTTTAATGATCAGTTTTGACGTATTTAAATCCTGTGGACCACATGAATATTTTTCATACAATAACGCGTCATGTTCCTGGGAACTTTTCTCATGGAACAAATAAGAAACCTTTGCAGGTATTTCAGGAAATTGAGCTGGAAGATTAATAATCCAACGCCAATGTCCGTGCTTGAATGTTATTTTGGCGTGACTGTTCTCTAAGGGTTGATTCACATTTAAAGCAGTCACATCACTGAAGATCGTTGTAAGTTCACTCACAAGTTTATTTAGGGGAACTGCAAGCTTCTCCATAGAGCGTGAGTTTAAAATCAGACTGAGGAAGCGATTCTTTTATGAAATGCTTGCAGACCTTACATCCACGGCATATATTCTTTATTGTAAGCAACATATCGACTTCGTTGTTCAGTGGTTTAACAATGTCAGAGTCGAAACATTCATGAGAACGCACGGAGGCTTCCCAGGAAGAATAAAATAATTTTGCAGGCTTGGTAGGAAAATCGTCAGGAAAACGAACCATCCAGTATCTGTAATTATGCTTAAAACTGATTTCGATGGCACCAGGAATATCCTTAGATTTTTCGAATTTGAACTTCGAATCGGATTGAATACCAAACCATTTTTTGAGATGATCATAAATTTGCTTCAAAACAACATCGCGATCAGACGGTGTTTCTTCATTACCATTCTTATTTTTGTCTGGATCTGCTTGGCTACCGGAGGAAGTACCAGGTTGAGATGCAGAGGTGGCGTTTTCAGGTCTACCACTCAATCTTTCGTAATCTCCAGGAGAGTGAAGATCACTATCTTCTGTATCCATTGGTCCCTCGTGATCATTAGGAGTGGATCCACTTGGGTTGGCCTGGGATTCGGATGAAATTTGGTAAACCTTGGAATCAGATGCATTTTGGTCAACCTGGGATTTGGGTGTATTTTGGTTGGCTTTGGAGTTGGGTGCACATGGGTAAACCTGAGGTAAACTGCCGTTGGCCTTCGATGTAGGTATATTTGAGTTAACCAGGGAGACAGATGGGTTAGGCTTTGTTGTACATGTACTAGCGTTAACCAGGGAGTCAGAGAAACTTGGACTGGGCTTTGATGCGGATGTACTTAGACCAACCAGGGATGAGCCTTGGTTAGCTGCAAGTGAGTTGGATTGGTGTTGCCATTCCGTTGAGAATTGGAACCCGTGTTTTGTCGGTTTGTTGCATTTCGTAAAGAGGCTCCACTGTGGTTGGCAACCTCTACCAAAGTAGTTTCTCTTCTTCGCTGATATTCTTTTCCCTCAGCTCCCAGATGAATCTGTTCCACAATTTTATTATCAGTTGAGAACGGACCGTCGGAGTCTAAAACCTCATACTCTGCTATCTCATAACGCTCACCGCCGTGGGTAAAGAAATACGGAGATAGTTTAATTGTATCACCGTTTTCAATGTTTGCAATGACGACCAAAAATTTCGACATGCCTCGAAGGAAGTTACGTCTGAAAAGCTTCTAATTTCAAACGCGCGCGCGCAAGTAAACAGAATCGTTTAAATGCTTGCGTCAGCAATCTAAGCGCGTCAGCGTAAACCGTTGTAATTTATTGCGAGATAATTAACATCAATCGCCTGATGATCGTACGCTGTACGTGAAACACTGTGTAGCGATGAAATAAAATTTTAAGATTGATATTTGTTGTTTATGTCTTTTTATTTGCTCTACTGATTTATTGGTGTTGAGCACTCTAGTTCACTACGCACAAATTCAACATTGAATATATATATATATATATATATATATATATATATATATATATATATATATATATATATATATATATATATATATATATATATATATATATAGATATATAGATATATATATATATATAGATATATATATATATAGATATAGATATATATTTTTAAAAAACTCATTAATAATTCAGGAGCAAAACACAAAGATAACTCATAAGCGTGTCGTGGTTTTATATGTGATAAAAAATCATGTTAGTTTACATAAACTTTAGCTTTGATTTTCTCGGTTTAGACAAAGTTTATTTTAAAAATTACTTCGCCAATGAACTAGTGTAAGATGAGTCGTTTTTTAAGCCATTTAAAGC